TTCACCCACAAGTTTGCTTACCAGAAGCTTCTCTCTCTAAGTCTCGGCCATAAACTTCCTCTTTGTCGACGATAGAAGTAGTTTGACCTCGCCAAGATTCACGATCAGATGGTTGTGACGTGATCTCATTAAAATGAAACCGATCTTTCTCCGCCAAAATCAGATCAAGCCGTTCTTTCACTTGTTTTATCTTCAAGGCAATTCCACGACGTACAGAAACTTTCTTGAAACATAAAAACGAGCAAGGGATGCAAAAGCGTACCGTGCACTTAGGAGGAACAACATCAGCATCAGCATCAGCAGCAGCAACACCATTTGACGATTGTTCGATCTGAAACTTGAGAATGGAGTAGTTCCATTCGTCCAACACGTCATCCATTTCGTATGTCGTGTTTTCGAGCCTCGTCAGCCAATCTTTGATGCTCTTTTCCTTATAACCCTTCTTCTCCGCATCTTCCAACACGTTTCTGACTGTGTTCAGATCGATGGAAAGTTTGAGAACCTCCTTCTTAACTCCTCTCACCAAATTTACTTCGTCTCGGATCTTCTCTTCCACGAGAGCTGCAATGCGCTCCAACACAACGGAAACGATAGCATCCGCCATTATCGCTCGCTAGCTCACACTACTTGTGTCTCTGATTGCACTATGTGATTGGTAACAAGATTGAGTGGAGATGTAGCTAATAGTTTGTCAATTATATTCCATTTTCTGCTTTTGCTTTAGCATAAAGTGAAAGTTCCACTCTTACTCAAAAAAAAAAAAGAAAAAAAAAAGTGAAAGTTCCACAGCTGTAGGTGAGACAATTGGTATCACATTTATTTTACAGGTAATCAAACTTTTAACGTCCATTAGTCTTGATATTTCTTTTGTTTTATTTTATATTCTATATATTTCATTAACTACAAATATTTATATTGTTCCAAAATTAATTTATAACTTACATAACCCAAAATTGTGAAAAACTAAAGTATTAATAACCGAGTGCCGTAAATAGATTTAAAAAAACAAAACATTAAACACAGAGAAAAGATAGAATAAACAATACTTGCATATTATTTTTTTCAATTGAAATGAAGTATATTAGCACTTACCACCCCTGTGCAATCTCGAATTGCCAAAAAAAAACCCTATATTAAAAATATTAACAAAGACCCATATACAAATATTAGTCGCTACACTCCATATATGGGAGTGGGTGTGCATTTTTTTGATCTAACAAGACCTAAATACCCTCTAATTAGTAATATTTTTAAAATTACAGATTCACCCCAAAGTTTCAGACCCAATGAAGATGGCCAGGTGTCGGCACCGACACACACTCGATCGGAAAGAGGACCTAAATACCCTCTAATTAGTAAATTTTACAGCAGTATGTAGGACGAGACAATTGCTCCCAGACCTACTAGTCAAACTTTAAAAGTTAATGGGGTCACAATTCTAATTATTAATATTTTTAAAAAAAGATTAAGGGCAAATTACGGCCGCCCTCCTGACTTATGGTAATTACCAAAATCCCCCTCATGTTTGGGTAGTTGTAGTATCGAAACACAATAAACACGAGGAATGGATGAAGGAGCGTACCTTGTACAACCAAAGTAGTGCAGCATTATCGAAAGAATGTTGTTCCGTCTCAAGTTCGAGAATCGCCGCATTCCATTCGTCCAACACGTCGTCCATTTCATTAGTCGTGTTTTCGAGACTCGTCCATTTAACTATTCCTTTTAGTTATTCCTTTCGATAAAAGAGAAAAATCTAAGGTATTAAAACTTAAAAGACAAATTAAATGATACTTGAGGGGTTAAGTGTTACAACTTACAAATGATAAGTGTTACATAGGGTATATATTTGAAGGGTGTAAAGTGTATTTAACCCTTTAAAAATATGTTCATTGCACCCATAATTTATATTAGGATAAATTACAACCACCCCCCATGAGGTATGGTCAAATTACGAAAAATCCCCTCTTGTTTGGATAATTACATCTACCCCCAACTATGAATCTTCTTATCCACCGGTACCCTTATGGTGTCAAATTCAACATAATTATCTAGATTTCGTGGAATGTTCTCTAGTTTGTACTCGTTTTGTGTAAAAATACAGTTTTTGATGCACCACAATCTGATATATACAAGCCAAAAAACACATATTATGATCATCTAGCTTCAAAATGTGGAGCTCGAATGGGATAAAACGGGTCCAAAATTGAGAATATTCCATATATAATAAAGAAGATTCCACTAAATTTGAAACCGTAAGGGTGAACGTGTAAGAAGATTTGTAGTTGAAGATGTTGTTGTAATTACCCAAACATGAGGGGGGTTTTCATAATTTAACAATACCTCGGGTTGTAATTTACCCTTTATATTATCCAAATTTTTTTATGATAGATACATATCACTTGCAAAAATCTATAATATAATGCATGTATGATTCCAAATTTATTATTAGTAATTTATTGATGATACAATAAAAAATATTGGAAGAAAAATTTAAAGAAAATTCCATGAAATTAGATTTTTTTTTATTTTATAATAGAATTGAAATTTTGTAGATTATGAGAAGAAAAAATGTCATGTTACTAAAGTCAAAGTTTTATTATTGGATTATTAATGGAGGAGTAAGTATTACATTTGATACTTCAAGGAGGTAATTGTTACAACTCCTATATTTTGGGCGCAAACTGTATTTAATCCTTTTTGTAAATCATATCGAATATTGATTTGGACAAATACTGGATAATTTTCAAAAATCCGGTTTTATGAGTTATAGTTTTACGGTTCAACCGGTCCAAAACTCAGAGTTTTCATTAAAATCCGATTTTTTGTAATTTACGGTTTTGTAGCTCACAAACAGGACCGGGCGGTCTGGGCTAGGCAATAGTACATTGTCCAACGGTTGAGTCGGGCCTGTCCAGTCCGAGTTTCAAAAACATTGAAATTTTGATTTTTCAAAAATTAGAATACTATAAGATAAGATTGTATTATGTTAAATTAGAGATTACAAGGCATTTAGTGTCATATATAACTAATTTTAGGTGGTGTTTGCAAATGCTTTTTGAAAGTGATTATGCGGTTTTTTTTGCTCATAATCTGTTTTAAGGTGTTTGCAAAATCAACTTTTGCTTTTGCTTCTCTTAAAATAATCTGCTTTAAGCTATTTTTTTAAAAGCACCCCTAACCCTACTTTTCCAATTTTAGTTTATTTTCCGAAATATTTGCAAACACCCCCAACTTTTAGAAATAAGCACTTAAAACTAATTTAAATCACAATCACCAACTTTTGCTTTTAAATAATCATTTGCAAACACCACCTTAATGCTAGTTTTTAATAATCTAACTAACTATAATGTAAGGAATTAGTATTATCCAAACTTATTAAAAATGTATTTATTTTAGAAAATACGAGAAAACCCGACCCGAATTTCATTTTATCCGAAGCCCAGCCCACCAAAACTCAAACCCGTATCTCAAGTCTCAACAGCCCAAAAACCCAAACCCGTATCCCACATTCCTGCAAAATTTCTCACCTCCACTCCATCCATCCAACTCGCCGTCCATTTCCATCGGAGAAGCCACCGCTAATTTCTCCGGCGACCGGCGTGGCTCAACCAATTTGTGGAGAAGCTATACCGTAGTGACTGTATACCCGATAGCAACAACGCCGATGATTCCACCCGCGTCGGCGAACCCGGCGTTAGATGCCGGTGCGCCTCCGCCACCACAGATGGTGGCTCCACCTCCTCCGGGTACAGACATGACCGGAATCTGCTTCCGCGATCAGCTGTGGCTCAACACTTACCCACTTGACCGAAACCTAGTTTTTGATTACTTCGCTCTCTCCCCATTCTACGATTACTCGTGCAATAACGAGCAGCTTCGTCTCCGCGCAACTCACCCCCTCGATCTCTCCCACCTCTCGTAAGTGCCGCTTTTTGTTCGACCTAATTTGATCGTTAATTTTCAATTTGGGTATAATTATCCGATAGTTAATTTTGATTTTTTAAGGTTCAATTTGGAGTGTATGTGTACACATAAACACAGTGAAATTGGATTTATTAATGAAGTAGTCTAAATTGAATTTGTAAAAAAATTGAAGCTTGATGTTATTCAATGGGTATATTTTCTGCATGAAGGAAGATGACCGGAATAGAGTACTCGTTGAGTGAAGTGTTGGAGCCGCATTTGTTCGTATTCAGAAAGCAAAAACGGGATGGCCCCGAGAAAGTGACACCTATGCTAACTTACTACGTCTTGGATGGATCAATATACCAAGCCCCCCAGCTTTGCAACGTATTTGCGTCTCGAGTTGTTAGTATCCCCTTCACCTACCGTTGTTCGTTTTTTTTTTTTTTAATTTAAACTGTGTGATGACATTAAGCACGTATTTCGTAGTTTTCGGATTATTTGGTTGAAATTTTGCATCTACAGATACAGTTGCTGCAAGATGATATTTTGTTTGGTGTATTCGTTATTGTAGTTCCTTCCGGGTTTTTTATCCCTTAAGCGCTGTATGGACTTCAAATTGTGTGATTCGTGTATGTGTATATATATTATTGTCTGAAACGAGTCTAACTAGTAACTACTTCAGCTGGTCTGTATGTATTCGGTGTTGCTAATGCTTCTTTTTGGCCTATCGTAAAGTTCGTTGAAGTTCCTAGATGGTGGTTTTTCCCGATTCTCATGTTTGTGATAATCGAAATGAGATAAACGATAAGTGATAACTGTGAGTGTATATTCAATAAGGTAGCATTGTTTTATCTGACAAGTATTTATGGTGATGATTCATGCTTTCCGTTTCTGCTCCAGATAATTGAATATCCTTATTTTCTCCGATCTTTTGTTCGTTTTCTGATTAGATGGAAGTTCGTCATAAGATTATCAGTAATAAGTGTATTTACACCTTATATATCGTCAAAACTCAGGTGTTCTAATGTAACGCTTTATCCTCTTTTGACAGGGACGCGCGTTGTACCATATATCCAAGGCTTTTAATACTGCAGCTTCAAAGTTGGAGAAAATCGGATATGGTATATTCCAATTTTAGTAAATTATTTACCTTTTTTCTCCTTTGACCTAAGTGATGTGCGCAGTGCGCCTACACGAGTACGTACGATTAATTAAGAAAATGAGTTGGTGCTTGATATACGATTGCATAACAATCTACTTGTGCTATATTATCTTGCAGCACATCTAACTAATCGAAGCTCAAGCTTCCATAAATTATTTAGCTTGTAATTTCTCGTGTTCTTCTGGCACAGTTGACGCCGCAAACGAGGTACTTCCTCTGGCCTATCAGACTAAGGACCATCGACTTAATGTAGTTAACGCGCGCCATATTCTTGCGTCTGGCACGCAGGTGACAATCTCTTCTTCACCGACGTAATTCGGTTATCGTACCAAATAGACCCATCTCCGTTTTCTGGCATCGGTCACATAGAT